ATTGATGTAATGATTTTTTCCTCTACAACTTGAACTAAGTTAATGGGAAAGTTTCATATCTTTCTATGTTAAGAGGTCCTTATCATTGACAACTATTAAGACTATTGTCATGCACAGTATAATGCAGTGTCATGTTTTTTCCGTTGTTATTGATGCCTTCAAATTGTTAAGGGTCATGATGATGATTTAGAGGTTTTTCATTATCATATCAATAGTGATGAATCATTGGCAAGTGAAATATCTGTTTAGTTTACTTTAATAATTATAAATACTATTTGGGCTTCCTATATGAGATCAGACGTTATTAAAGCTATTCAACATGATAAAATATTTCTACATCTTAAAGCTGGGAATCTAATAAATTATTAAGATTTAAATCAATATACTAATTTATAAAGATCTAGTGATATTTGATGGAATTCACATTTTCATACTTTAATTAGTTTCATGAGAATGTATGCTTCTGTAATTGAGGTTTTTGAAATTGTTAAAGAAGATGGAGAACATGATCAACAATCGATTAGAGAAAGTGTTCTAATTGATGTAATAAAGTCTTTGTTGTAACTTAGTTTCATAACTATATTTTTATATCATGCGTGTTTTTGATGATTCCAAAATCTTATTATGTTGATCAATGTTTCTCCTAACATATATTGGAAATATTATTTGTGTTGTTTGTGTGTACTAACGTTTTAGAAAAATCATACTCCATACTACTGAAGACTTCAAGATAGATTAGATTAGAGTTTATTGTAATTGAAGTACGTACTTTTATATTTTTCTTGAGTCTGAGAGAATGTGATTATAATTGGGTAACCGTGCACACACGCACTGGACAAGTGTAAAAATTTTTAAAAAAAAAAACTAATCGTACTGTACGATCATGGATCATATGGGATGATTTGACCCGAGTGTTCCTTCAGAACATAGTTGATTAAATCATGCTAGGGAAAATTTTCTAAGTCTTGTTTGTGTTATACGAAGTTACATTTGTACACACGACAACTAGAGTACGAAATGTCTACGTACCAGTTCACCCTGAATGAGTTCAAAATTTTCTAAACTAATCCTACCGTACGATCATAGGTTCGTACAAATGACTTCCATAGTACAATATGGATGCGTACAAGTTCATCCATACAAACATGAAAATTTTTGAACTTTTCGTATTGTACGATCTTAGGTTAGTATAGAAGATGTCCATAGTACAAAATCGACTTGTCCATTTTTGTACCAAACGAAGCATGATTTGGTTAAATTGATTGTACTGTACGATATTAAGTTCATATAGTATGTTATTCATAGTACGAAATTGGTTCGTACATAATTGTACCAGATGAATCGATTCAATTTTGAACTGATTATATTGTACGATGTCAGTTCATACATATGCCAACTAGAGTACAAAATTGGTTTGTACATAAACGTACGAGCATTTTTTGAGCTGATCGTACTATATAATTCGTGACGGTCAAATTGAAAATTTCAATTTTTTGGACAATTTTTCATGTTATTCATATTTAAGGTCCTAAAAACTGACTAACAAAGAACTCCTACAAATTTCAAATGTGAATTTCTTTTGAGAGTGCACTTGGAGAGTATTTGGGAGAGTTTCTTGTGATTGGAGAGAGAGATTTTTTAAGAGGGAATTGTGAGGGGATTCACAAGATTGGCTAATAGTGAGTGTCTCTTACTTGTTCTTTAAAGTTCTTCCCTACTTTCTTGAAAACTCTTGGAAGAATATTTTCAAAGGAGCACTGGTACTTTGCCTACACCAGGAGGGTGTGAAAGGATGATGATACTATGCCGACACTAGGAGGGTATAAAAGGACGTTGGTTCTCTGTCGTCATCAAGAAGGTGAAAAAGGATGAAGGTACTCTGTCGCATCGGGGATTGGTGGAATACATGTTAATTGTAAGAGCTTCTCCACCTTAATGTGGGAGCAAAAGGAGGAAAAATTATTACGTCTAGATAAAAAACTGAGCATACCGAGTGTACCGAGCGAGGTACTAAGCTCTCGAGTTACGTGGCTTTTTGTTATTGGTCTCTGGATGCATTCGGTGTCCAGACAGAATCATTACTCCAAAAAGAGAGTCACTTTGTTATAGTGTAATACCTGAAGAGAGAGTCTTTAGAGAGTGGATGTAGATCTTGTTGGACCGAACCACTATAAATTTATGTATTCTTTTTGTCTTTACTTTTTACTATTTTTTTTATTTTCTGCAAGTTAATTGTGGTTGAAAAACTTTTTTGAAAAATTTTATCATTGTGATTAAAAATTTTAAAAATGATTTTTTTAATCTAACAAGAGATTTTTAAATAACAAATTCACCCCCCTCTTTGTTAGCCTTAGGATAATTACTTTAGGTCTAACAACCTATTCAGACTTTCAATCTTTTGAGTTTATTTTCATAATGCATTTTATGATTGATATTTTAGGGATTATAATTGGTTATCACAATTATTATAAAGAAACGATCATGTTCATTAAGTGCAAATATCTAAATAATGGCTAAAGATACTAAGGGATAATGCATTGAGTGCTTTAGTAGATGAAGTTTCATATTTTTGTGGTATTTTTAAAGTTGATGTTCTAAATATGAATGATGAATACAAAAGTCATCGTCGATCGACGCGAAGAGGAGAAGAAATAATAAACTTACATTATTATCCTGTTGAATTATTTTATACTATAGTTGACATGCAATTTTAAGAGCTAAATATTGGCTTTTTTTAATCTAGTACTGATACTTCATCATTAAATTATCTTGATCGGGCACGAATCTCGGCGCAAAAAGCAAGTTGGAAACTTCATAAATCAAATTTGGAAGCACCTGAACTCCGATTTCAACAAGCTTGTAGTCATACTGAGCGTCTCGGAAATACAAACCCAACGACATCAAATTCAACTCGATCCGAGCCCAAATGAGTCCAAATCAAGTCGCCGAAGTTCTATTGGAAAGCTCGTACCATAATTTGAGTTACCAAACGGTCTTCGATTTTAACGATCTTATAGTCGAATCGAGCGGCTCGACGAGACAAATCAAACGAACCCAAGATCTCTGAATTCCAACATCACTAAGGCCTTTAAATGTCCAACGAACAATGCACAATCGAAGGATTCAATATCAGGCGTTCATTCGACCACTCCCTATTTTCCCCTGATCTCACGCCTATTTACAAGCCATGCCACTCTAGAAAACTATAAATATAGCCCTCATTCCTCTCAAGAGGACTCAAGCAAGAAGAAGAAAAGAGGAAGAGAAGAAGAAGAGATGAGGAAGAAGAATCAGCTCCTCGACCACCGCTGGAGTTCTTCCCACTACCCGAACATGCTGGGATTCTGCCGGATATACAGGAGAACGCCGGAATTCTGCACAACTTTGTAACTGAAGAAATTTATTGTAAATCTGATTTTCCTGACTTGTGGGTTGAATCAACTTCTTGTAATTCAAGCAACACTAGTGGAACTTTCAACTGGGTGCGGCCCCATGGTTTTTTCCTTTTTCAGGTCTTTCCACATAAAAATCATGGTGTTCATTTTCCTTTCCTGTTTGTGTGCTGAATATTCGTACAATGCTCGGATGAAAATTTATTAACTCTATCGCCGCGTATATTCTAGCCCGTAACAGTTTGGCGCCGTCTGTGGGAACACTATCCCACAAACTTCAAGTATTGCTACAATAGTTAGCAGACGTAGTAGTCGCATCATTGGAGCTTCCCGCTCCAACTCACACCAATCCAAAAATCAATCTGTGAATCACAGATGCCCGATGTCTACCTCTTTTCATCATGGGGGCCAAAATGCTGTCGGAGAAGGAACCTCGGGACCTTCTATAGAAGATAGAATCCGGAAGATGGAAGAATCTCAGAACGAGATCCTTTAACTCCTGGGAGAGAATTGGTAGCCGACATTGGCACAACGAGAGGAGGTCCTTCTCCCTCATGATTCACGACGGGATGAAGATGTTCAATTCGAATATATTCAAGCAGAGATTTATCTTCCTCCACCTAGAATACATCCTCAGTCACGACAGGATAATGAACTTGCCGATACAGCAAGTTCTACACATTCTTCGCCCTCAACTCGGCAGCCTCGCATTCTCCCGGATCTCCCAGAAGACTCTGCCCAACCATACATTACAGAACTCCCTCACAATGCCCTGCGTCATGAACTACGAAGGTTGGTAAGGGAAGAAATCCCCCAAGGGGATGTGAGATAAGCTCTCCGACAGAGAGGCTTCCAGGAGTCATCACCTCTAACTGAGTCCATACTACAGCATCCTATTCCGATTGAATTCAAAGTACCCAGCATTGAGTCTTACGACAGGACGTCCGATCCGTATGAGCATATCGACCACTACATAACCATCATGCACATTCAGCGAGCCTTAGTCGCCCTCCTCTACCATGTCTTTCCTGCCACCCTCAAAGGACAGGCTCGAATGTGGTACTATTCGCTTTCATCCGGAACGATCCCCTCATTTATAAAATTGGCCAAGGCTTTTATCTAGCAGTTTGTAGCCAACCAAAGAATAGCCAAAGATTCTTCCCACCTCTCTGGAATCCATCAGAATGAAGGAGAATCGTTGAGGGAGTATTTTTAACGATTTTCCACTGAAGCTCGACAAATCCCAGGAGTAGATACTAAACTGTTGAGAGGAGTCTTCCTTGGAGGCCTTCGCCCTGGCCCCTTCTATTCGGCCCTCATGCGAGATACTGCTCATTCGTATGCCGATTTGATCCATCGTGTGGATGCGCAAATCTCTACAAATGAGGCCATAAATGCTCATAGAAACCAGTTTGAGCAAACTAACAGAAAGCGCATGGTTGCACCTGGTGCGGATAATTCATCCACAAAATGAAAGAAACAAGGGAAGACTAATATACCCCATAGGCCTCCATTGCCACGATGAGAACCTCGACAAGAGGAGTACACTCCACTCAATACATCTCGAGCAAATGCATTAATGGCTGTCCGAGATCATGATACAGTGAAATGGCCGCATCTTTAAAGCCAAACACAGGAAATCAAGATCAGTATTGCCATTTTCATCATAGTCATGGCCACACTACCAAAGCCTGTAGACAACTTAAGGAGGAGATTGAAAGACTTAACCGTCAAGGCTATCTTCGACAGTTTATTCGGGATTCACCTACCCGAGAGGAAACTCATCTCAACGGGGGGCAAAATCAACAACAGAGGCCACCGGTGAATAACCGAATAGCAGTTGGAGAAATTGAGGCAATTATCGGAGGCCCTTTGCTATCTAATAAAGTCTTTTTGGTTTTAGATGAAATTCCAACTCCAAAGAAGGCTCGTATAGATCACTCCATCACCTTTGATGATTCTGACTTGGAGGGAGTAAAAACCCCCCACCAAGGCCAACTTGTGATTAATATGGTGATAGGTGATCCGTGTTACAATGTTAAGAGAATTCTTGTGGACAATGGTAGCTCCGTGGATGTCCTATTCTACTCTACCTTCCTCAATATGGGTCTTACAAGATAGAAGCTTCAACCCGCTGCAGGTCATTTGTATGGATTTGATAATCGACTTGTACTAGCAGAAGGGATAATTAGTCTCCCTGTTGTACTTGGAGAATTCCCCCGGTAGTCTACACACCCTATTCAGCTCATCGTTGTAAAGTCTGAATCATCTTACAACGCTATCTTCGGGAGGCCACTTCAGTTAGTTTTTGGAATTGTTGCCTCTATCCCTCACCTTAAGGTGAAGTTTCATTCCCAGATAGGAGTTAGTGTGGTATGCAGAGATCAACAAATAGCACAAACCTGCTATCTCAGGCAGGTCAAGTCACGTCCGTCAGTTGCTTTGAGGATCGAGAATTTTGATCTCCGGAACAAGGATATCCCTCAGAGAGCTTCCCTTATAGAAGACTCACTACTGTATCTATCTCCGAAGAATATCCTTCAAAGACGATACAGATTGGATCACTACTCTCATGCGATGAGAAGAAAGAATTCACATATTTTCTATGAGAAAATCAGGCCGTTTTTGCATGGAGCCCGGCGGATATGCCTGGAATTGACCCTACAGTGATCGTACATTCCCTTAATGTCAATCTGATGTGCAAACCAATCATCCAAAAGAAATGGAATTTTTCACCAGATCGTCAGCAGGTGATCGAACAAGAAGTGGACAAACTCTTGGTAGTCGGATTCATACGAGGGGTGTACTATCCTACTTGGCTGGCAAATATCGTCATGGTTCGAAAGGGGAGTGGAGCATGGAGAATGTGCATAGACTATACAAATCTCAATAAAGCCTGTCCAAAAGATAGCTTTCCTCTTTCTCGTATCGACCATTTAGTCGATACCACCTATGGACATCAGATGTTGAGTTTCATGGACGCCTACTCCGGTTACAATCAAATTAAGATGAATCCAACTGATGAAGAAGCGACAGCATTTCAAACAGACAGAGAGTTGTATTGTTATCGGTTGATGCTCTTCAGGCTCAAGAATGTTGGAGCAACTTATCAACGCCTCATGAATAAGATTTTCAAAACCCTTATTGGGCATAATATGGAGGTGTACGTGGACGACATGTTGGTAAAGAGTCTTGAAAAATCTTGGCATATCTCTGGTTTGGAGTAGTGCTTCCATTTGCTAAGGCATTATAACATGCGGCTCAACCCCGCCAAATGCACCTTTGGAGTCTCTTTTAGAAAATTTTTGGGTTTTAATGGTAACCCACAGAAGAATCGAAGCCAGTCTCAAAAAGATCAAGGCGTTTAGAGATATGGTACCACCTAAGAACATCAAGGAATTCCGAAGGCTAAATGGGAGAATTACAATGTTGTCTTGTTTTCTGGCACGCTCAGGAGACAAGTATCTACCTTTCTTCAAAGTACTTGGAGGCACTCGCAGCTCTGGGTTTCAATGGACGGATGAGTGCCAAGAAGCCTTCGAACAGCTACAAAAGTATTTGGCATCCCCGCTGCTATTTTCTAAACCAACGCCTGGAGAAAAGTTATATTTATACATTGTTATTTCTGCCCAAGCCATCAGTTCGGACTTGATGCGAGAAGAGAAAGCTATACAATGTCCCATCTATTATGTCAGTAAAATTCTATCTAAAACAGAAAGATGTTATCCCCTAGCGGATAAGACAGCATTGGCATTAGTTTATTCTATAAGAAAGCCACACCCTTACTTTCAAGCCCATTCAATTGGGGTTTACACAAATCTACCACTAAAAAGTATCCTGCAGAAGCTGGAAGCATCGGATAGGCTCGTTAAGTGGTCTGTAGAGCTAGGAGAATTCGACATCCACTACTTGCCCAAGCTTGATATCAAATCTCAAGCACTTGCAGATTTTGTAGTTGAATGCACCATACTAGTATCTGATGTTCAACTGAATACTTTCTGTGAATTCGACATCCATGTTAGGAGTTATATGTCGATGGGTCTTCTGGAAGTTCTGGTACTGGAGCCGAAATTCTATTGATTTCTTCTCAAAAGACTACTCTTGAATATGGGCTCTGTCTCAAGTTTCCAACAACAAATACACAGCAGAATGCAAGGCCCTCATTGCCAGCTTGAGACTAGCAATTGACTATGATGTCTGAAACCTGATAATCCACACTGATTCCCAACTAGTCACCTCTCAGGTGGAAGGAGAGTTTGATATCCATAATCCCCAAGTGGCCCAGTATTGCTACCTCGTAAAGCTACTCTTGGTCCGTATAAGAGAGCATCAGATCATACATGTTCTCCAAGAGTAAAATGCGAGAGCCGATGCTCTTTCCAAGCTTGGTACATCGACGATGGGGGACATCTATAAGAGGAAGTACATCGAGGAGATTCACTTTCCAAGTATTCAAGGTCCGTGGGTCATACAATCAATCGATGAACCAAGAGAGGTGTCTTGGATTGATCTAATCTTGTCTTTTTTACAAAATGGGATACTACCAGAAGAACCTATGGCTGCAACAAGCCTTCAAAGACGAGCAGCAAATTTCACCATCATTGGTGGTGAGTGGTATAAGCGCGTTTTTACCAGACCATATATGAAATGTCTCCCACCTTCAGAAGCTGATTATGCACTCTAAGAAGTTCATTCGAGAGTATGTGGAGAGCATCTGAGAGGAAGAGCATTGGCTTATAAAATTTTGAGACAAGAATTCTATTGGTCTACAATGAAGCAGGACACGCTTGAGTTTACACAAAAGTGTGAAAACTGTCAGTTGCATTCCAATCTCACCCATACACCTGCTCTAGAACTTGCATCACTTCAGAGCCCCTAGCCTTTTGCCCAGTGAGGAATTGACATAATGGGACCCTTCCCTATAGCCGCGGGACAACAAAAATTCATCATCCTGACTGTAGATTACTTTACGAAGTGGGTGGAAGCAGAACCCTTGGAAAAAATTACTGAAGTGAATGCCAAGCAATTCTTATGGAAGAATATAGTTTATCTCTTCAGTATTCTTGCAAATGTCATCACCGACAACGGGACTCAGTTTACTGGAAAGATCTTTACATCTTTCTGTAAAGATTTTCATATTCAGCTCGTCCACACAGTCGTCGCCCATCCTTAAGCAAATGGGCAAACAGAGGTTACAAATCAAACAATTCTAAAAGGGCTAAAGATACGCCTAGGGTAGGCTGGGGGGGTAATGGGCTGAAGAACTCCCAAATGTCCTCTGGGTGTACCGGATCACGGCCAGAACTCCTACAGGAGAGACTCCATTTAACCTCTGTTTCGGCATAGAAGTAGTCATACAGGTGGATGTTGGGGTCCCGAGCAACAGAGTTCAGACCTTTGACTTCAATAACAATGAGGAGAAACTCAAGATAAATCTAGATCTCCTCCCCGAAGCAAGGGATGAAGCCTCACTTAGGACTGCTGCATACCACCAGCAGATCACTCGTCACTACAATCGGAGAGTGAAATCTCAAAATATTTCCATTGGGGAGTTAGTTCTGCGAAGCATCGAAGCTACTGGAAAAGGCCCTCAATGTAATAAGCTCCCCACTCTATGGGAAGGTCCTTACTTGGTGGCGGCTATGGTCAAGCCTGGAACCTTCAAACTGAAAGATGCTAGTGAAAAATGCTCCCCCGAACTTGGAATGTGGGCAACCTTCGCAAGTACTATCAGTAGAAGTTGATACTACTATCTGTTTGGTATGATATAATTTATAGTATTTGTCTTGCTTTATGTTCCCTCGAGTGGCTATGCTTTGTATCTTTCAAGTTTTTCGTACACTCTTTATATGTTGATTGTAGAAGAACACTTCTTTTGTATCCCTAAGTTTACTATGGAATTGTCGCATTGTTTTATATAATACAGTAATGTGATGTTCACTTTGTCGTTATGCTATCTCCTCTCCTCGAACTCTTTTCCCGTGCTTCGAGAAATACACAACTAATGTTGTATCTCAATCACTAGGCAACCAATCCCAGGGGGATCTGGTCCGACCTCTTCCATACAGGTTAAAATCATCAAGCAAATGCTTTGATTAACAATCTCGGATATGTCAAAATATCCAAGGAAGATATCTCTTACATTCGTACAAGTCAAAAGAGACTAACAGAATATTTGAGTCAATCTCATATACTTATGGAAAAGAGAAACTTCTTTTTTATATATAAAAATCACTGAAACATCAAGTATATCATACAAACACACGAACAAAAGAAACACACATATAATCACCGCAACGAAAACAAAAGTGATACAGACAACATCAGATTAATTCTACAGGATCTCAAGATCATCCTCGTCTTCATCCAAAGAAAAAATTTGCTGCAGCTCACTCTCCAACTCTTCACCACCAGAGTCTGGAGAAGGATCACCAGAAGCCTGGCTAGGAGTCAACCCCTCAATCTCCCCTCTATTCTTACGCTGCACTGCACGAACACCCTTCATGAAACCTTGATGAAGCCATCTTCTATAAGCTCTACCTCTAAAGCCTTCACCTCTACGTCATAAATATGATCGTGAGCTTCCTGAACTTGATCCTCAACAATTATCTTGAAAGCATAAGATTTCTTGAACTCTTATACGGCTGTAGACGGTGACAGTCGAGTTTTGTTCTCTTACAACAAGTTTAGGAGCTTCTTATTCTCAGCTTCAAGGATGTCCTAATCTTTCAATTATTGGTTGTTCATCACCTGTGCCTCCACCAACTGTATATGTAAACGATCCATCCGCTCATTCTAGGAGGAGGCTGAAGTGATCCTATTTGCTAATTCTGCTCTACACTATTCAAGTTGATCCTCCACCATCTTCATCTCCTTCACTTTACCTTCATATTTCTTCTTGTATTCCCCCTGAATGTATTTAACTTTCACGAATTCATCATTCCAGTCATCCAAGGCTTTATTCGCCTCAAGTTGCTATTCCAGATAAAAAAACAAGTGAGAAATATATCCCTGAAAATATATATATATACAAGGGAAAAGGAGAGAGGGTGAACTCACCAACTCATCGGTTCGTTGATGACCAACACACTTATATTTCAAAACATCTTCTGGAATATATATTTTGGACGGAGATAAATGAGGACCTTTGCTAGCAACTGTTAAAACTTCATTCAACTTTTTCTTCTTTGATGCCTGCAAATCTCCCTCACCTTTTGATCGCTTGGATTGACCTTTTTGGGTCTCTGGAACTTTCAGATATTTCTTTAATATCTATGAGTGCGATCTCCCTGCTTGAGTAGATAATCCCACCTTGAATAAGTATTCTTCGTCTATGTATCTCCTCAAATAACGCACCTCATAACGAAGGGCATCAATATCAGGAAGCTTTAGGATCTTCAATAGATCTTCCGCTCCAATATGAAAGGGGACGGGTAACTCCTCCAACTTTCCTCATTTTTCTTGAAGGACCCAATCATTTTGCACAAAAAAAGTCGCTAATCCAATCTTTCGACGTGTCCCTAATGCGAATATCCAACCACTTAGATCTGAAGGAGATACGACCCTGCGTATCAGTAAAAATACGCCCCATCCGAGCAAGACAATCTGAAGACAACACCACTCCAAGGTCTCTGAAAAGCGCAATCAGACCCAATACGATCGACATGGCCCTATAAGAAAATTGAGACAAACTCACTCCGCAGATCGTCAGAATGTCAATCAATTCAGGAGATGGTGAAAACCACAACCCCGCTCGTAAACTGAATTCGTATATTGTCACATATCCCGGGGGAGGCAAGAAAGCGCGATCAGATCTTGCTGGCACCTTCATCGCCAGATCATTAGGTTTTTTCCTAAAAGAAATGATGGAATCTTCAGTGATGGTGGAGATAACATCATCAATCTTCGGTGTCCTTTGAGTCTTCTTCACGCCCTCAGATCAGTCTATAAGACGATCTTCTCTGACGGGAAGATTTTTTGTGGATACGTGATCACCCATTCCAATTTCCTTACTAAAGATGGGTGTGAATCTAAGTAGGGAAGATCACCTATAAAAGATAGTAGAAAGCCCCTAGAGTAGGAAGAAAAATTGTGGGGAAAGAAGAGGAGAAGAAATCTCCAACTTCTGCGCGAGAAGAGGGGCGCCGAATTGAGTAGGAAAAGTCTCATACTCAAGAATGGCAGAAATCCTCAACTGTCAGAAAGCCAGAGGGGGAAAGAAGAGGAGAAGAAATCTCCAACTTCTGCATAAGAGGAGGGGTGCTAGATTGAGTAGGGAAAGTTTCCTACTCAAAAACAATGGAAGTCCTCAACTGTTAGAAAGCCATAAGGGAAAAAAAGAGGAGAAGAAATCTCCAACTTCTGCATAAGAGGAGGGGCACTAAATTGAGACGGGAAACTTTCCTACTAAAAAATAGCGGAAAGCCTCAACTATTAGAGAGCCAAAGGGAGAAGAAGAGAATGTGCAATTTTCCTAAAGGCCTTGAGGGCCTATTTATAGTCTTCAAAGGAGAAGAGGGCAGTTTTTAGTATTTTTGAATTTCTCTAATTTTTTTGAATTTTTTTCAAAATTTTTTGGGAATTTTTTAGACCCAAAAATAGCAAAAACCCAATTTTTTGTGAATGTGGGGCCCACATAAGGCGGTGGGCCGAACCGCCTCCTCTCCACCTCCAAAACGAAGCGGCAGCCAGCAAGGTGCAGGCCACCGCGTGGGCCAGGCGCGGCACGGTCGGGCCGTAGGAGCGGGCCCAGGCGCGCGAGACTCAATTTTACAACTTTCAGAGCTCAACGAGACCTCTATGATCAAGTTTTGGAAAGTACTTAATTTTTTGAATGCGGTTTTTGCATTTTAAACAATACAAATTATCAAAGCATATATTTTCGGACTCCTGGAGCTTTGATGTCTGAAAATTGGGGGTCAACTGATACATCATCATGAAATTATCTTTGATCGGGCACGAATCTCGGCATAAAAATCAAGTTGGAAGCTTCATAAATCAAATTTGGAAGCTCCTGAACTCCGATTTCAGCGAGCTTGTATTCAAACTGAGCGTCTCGGAAATACGAACCAACGACATCAAATTCAACTTGATCCGATCCCAAATGAGCCCAAATCAAACCCCCGAAGTGTTGTTGGAAAGCTTGTACCATAATTTGAGTTACTAAACGGTCTTCGATTTTAACGATCTTATAGTCGAATCGAGCGACTCGACGGGACGAATCCAACGAGCCTAAGATCATCGAATTCCGACATCACTAAGGCTTTCAAATGTTCAACAAACAGTGCACGATCGAATGATTCAATATCAGCCGTCCAATCGACCACTTCCTTTTTGCCCCTGATCTCACGCCTATTTACAAGTCATGCCAGTCCAGAAAAACTATAAATATAGCCCTCATTCCTCACAAGAAGACTCAAGCAAGAAGAAGAGGAGAGGAAGAGAAGAAGAAGAGAAGAGGAAGGAGAATCAGCTTCTCTTCAACCACTGCCGGAGTTCTTCCCCCCGCCCGAACACGCCGAGATTCTGCCGGATATATGGGAGAACGTCGTAATTCTACACAACTTTGTAACTGAAGAAATTCATTGTAAATCTGATTGTCCTGACTTGTGGGACGAATCAACTTCTTGTAATTCAAGCAACACTAGTGGAACTTTTCAATTGGGCGCGGCCCCGTTGTTTTTCCCTTTTTCAGGGCTTTCCACGTAAAAATTATGGTGTTCATTTTCCTTTCCTGTTTGTGTGCTGAATATTCATACACCGGTCGGACGAAAATTTACTAACTCTATCGCCGCGTATATTCTATCCCGCAACAAGTACTAAGTTATTTTTTTGTATGGCATATTTAAATCCAAGTAATTCCTTCCTTGCTTATGGTAAGAGAAAATTAATGCTTCTAGCACGGTTATAACCAAGTGATTTTTTTTTTATAATTGAGCTTGTGACTCTTAAAAGTTAATTATTAACTTATATTATTAATATGCATACCATTAATGAGTTTTCATCTCTATGCAGTATTATTGATCTTGCAAAGCAAATTGTTAAGATCAAGAAGTATGGTATGTATCCTCTGGTGTATACTTATTATTTTAACATTAACTACCAGTTGCTAATGTTACAATTAAGAGAGCATTTCTTGCAATAAAGATTGTAAAACTTCGATTACGTAGTAGAATAGGTGATAATCAGCTCAACGATTTTCTGATTTCTTACATTGAAAAAGATATGTTCAATTTGATTTCCAATAAAATTGTAATGCAAAATAGATTACTAATTTTATAATATTTTTAATTTATCAATCATAATGAAATACAAGATTTTGCTTTGAATTATATTCTCATTTTATTTTTTTTTAAACATCTGTATCATTGATTTATAAGAATCCTCTTAAACAAAGATGAATTAAGTTCTTCACATTTACCGAAAATAAGTTCTTCAATTGATGAATTTAAATAACAAAACTTGTTTTTGGGGAACATAAATAACAAAACTCAAAATAAATTACTCTGCATTTTCCCAATAAAATATTTACTCTGTATTACAGACAGTGGCAGTTCAATGGCCGTCAGAAATCTTTTTATATAAGAAAACTGTTATTAATTTTAATTTTTAATGAATGCACATTAAAATTTTACAATTAAAAATATTAAATAAAAGAAATTTATTACTATTTATCTTTAATATATAAAATATATTAAATTTTAAAGCGAAGCACGTGCCCCCTCGCATTTCCATATACCTGCCCTTCAATAAAAGTAATGTATAATGTTCAAGAAATAAAAAATAATAATAACTAAATAAAAAATGTATAATGTCCAACAAAAATATATCAAAACTTAATTTATTATCATTTTACTATATTTCTTATTTAAAATGTTTATTTAACTTTTAGTTTCAATAATTTTTAATAAAAAATCATTAATTATTCATTTTTAAGAAATAATTTAATATATTAATAATCATTTCTAAGAAATAACAAATAAACCTATAAAATTCAAAATCCCTTTTAATTTCTTTTTATCAAAATATATTCACTCATTTTTTAAAAATCTTATCACGCCCCTTAATAGGGTGTTGGAAATAGGTTATGGATAGATTTGGTCTAATTCGGAATCGATCATATATATTAAAATCCAATCAATCCGAGCCTGAATCATTTAATAAATGAACCAAAAAATACAAACCTTATAAAGATCTACGACAAACCTGAATAATCCAAACACTTTTCATATATAAACAAATTATTACTGACAACTATAGAATTTCAAATAATTGATCAAAATATATATTAAAAAAAAAACATACCAACAACCAAAATAATTTATAATAATAATAAATAAAATAAATAAATTAAGGTCACTATAGGGTCAAAATCAAATGAGCCTGACTCATCAGTAAAACATGTTGAAATTTTGGATAAGAACCTACCCATTTATAAAACGAATTTATTCAAACTCAAAATTTTTAGATCGATCTAAGTCGAATTATTTATTGACAACTCTATTTATTAACAAACATAAAAATAAGAGAAATATTCTTCTAAGAACGATTCCATCAAAATCACAATCTTCCAATAACAACAATTAGGGAAATAATCTCCACGAATAATAACATAATTAAATGGCAAATAGGTTTTAAGCAGAAGACTACATACAACTTGCCAACAAAACAGATATATATTTTTTAATAATTGATAGATATAAAGAAGTAGTCCCCTCCTCTGCCTTATTCCTTCCTATTCAAACCGGTTCCCGGCCGATATCAGGCATGATCAGCGACCGTCCACGTCATATCCCCTTCAAAGATCCAATGGCACACCTCAATCTTCCCCGGACCGGGCCCCAGCGCCACGAATGCCCCGTGAGTCGGACTCCAGTCCGACGTGTCAAGGTGACAGATGGCGACACCTTGATTGATCTTCTCCTTAGTATCAACGGCCAGGATGTCCGCCACGTAAACGCGAACGCGGGGCACCGAGTGGCAGTAATAAACCAAGTAGGGGAAGAGGCTCTGGTGGCAGCTCACCGACTCGGTAACCTTACCTCCGTTCACCCCTCTCACGTCCCCGACAAGGATGTTCCCCTTGGAGCCCTTCGTGTTCGCCGTGGATCGGACCTCGATGTCGTTGCCGAGAACGGAGACGGCGAAGTCGATCATATCCTCTGCCGACGCGGCGCAGCGCTTCGTCTCGCCGTGGCTTGGAGCGCGCTTGCAGTCCGCTAAAGTGGAATCCACCGCCTTCCCCATGGCCGTGTCCGGCAAGATGCGGAAGATTCCGTCGACGGAGGCGGCGGAGAACGGGATCTTGCCGGAGATTGACCGCGGGAGGAAAGATCGCGGCGGCATTCGGTCGCGGATGTCCGGCATCGGCATTACCGTCCCCTTCTTCAAGCTTCGTTCACGAAAGAACTTTCCCGGCTCGACGAATCGTTTCGCCAAATCTTGCTTCTTATTCTCCACTGCGCTCTTCGTATCCACTGCGCTTGCGGTTGGAGTCGAGGAGGAAGATGTATTGTGATATTCTTTGAAATCGACGCCGGTTTTCGCATAGCCTTTGAAGCTGGTGTTGTCGGCGAAGTATTCCTTGAATGTGATTTGGTCATTGAAGGAACCCTCGCCGTAACCCTTGAAATTGTCGCTGCCGGGATTAAAGGAGTTGCCGTAATTTGTGAAATCGGCGGTGCCAACGTTACCGCCCTTTTCATATGAGATGAAGAAATTATCTCCGACGTTCGACTGATCTCGATAGCTGGTGAATTTATCAACCCCACCATTAGTTCCGTCGCCGTACGACCTGAAATTGTTTTCCGGCACATTGCCATTATCTCCATACGAAGCGAAGGTATCGTTAACCCCATTCCCTTCCTCGCCGTAATGTGTAAATGTGCTTCCGATTACATTGGAGTTATTTGCGTACGAACTGAAATCGGATGTTGCACCATTTCCGTTCTTCCCGTAACTGTTGAACGCCTGGTCGCCGGCGTTCGCATTATCCGAATACTGTTGAAAAACTCCTTCGCGGCCAGTGCCCTCCGCCGCGTAATTATTGAATTTGAGATCAGGGACATTGGACGATTCGTCGTAGGAGGTGAACCCGTCGGTGCCGCCGGCGGTGTTTGTGCCATACGAGGAGAAATTTGCGGTGACGACATTGCCGTCGGGGGCGTAGAAAGAGAACTTGTCATCATGGCCGGCGGAGTCGCGGCCGTAGCGGCGGAAGGTGTCGAGGGGGACGTTGAGGCCGTCGGAATAGTTTTTGAAGGAAGAGAGGCCGTCGGCGGACTTGGTGCCGTAGTTAGTGAAGTTACTGTTCTGGTATGCGGCGAAGTCAGAGTCGGGGGGGTAGGAGGAGAGGGAGGGGGTGAGGTCGTTGGGGCAGAGAAGGCCGGCGGCGGAGCAGAAGGAGGCGAGGTGGGAGGAGAGAAGTGAAGGGTCGGAGGCGGCGAGGTTGAAGAATGTTGTGGCGTTGGAGGCGGAGAGAGGAGTGAGTTTAGAGACGAAGAATGCTGGATGAGGGAGATTGTTGGGAATTTTGCGGTTCCAGTACCGGATTAGTGCTGCTTTTTCGGTGAATGGGCTTGAGCTTGGGCTTGGGGAAGCAACGGCGGCGTAAGGGAGGAAGAAGAAGAAGAAGAAGAAGAAGAAGAAGAAAAGGAGTGGAGAAGCCATGGGAGGAAGCCAAATGGAAGCTGTGCTGGTGAGTGGAAGGAGGACTGGGCTGCGGCGATGAATATATAGATATGACAGAAGAAATGGGGAAATATGGAAATGATCGCACATCATAGATCTGATCGATTAATAATAATAATAATACAAGTTCGAAATCGTCGGTTAAATTTTGGTTTTATTTTTAAATAAATTTAAGATCAGATTAAATTTTAATCAAACATCTCACCTAAATTTTTTTAAATTATTTTTTAATCTTATGAATTTAAATGACATGATGTATAATATATTGACTGTCAAATATTAATAAATGAAAATAAAATAACGCTAAAAAAATAGTTTGATGAGTTTAGTGGAATAAATAAATTATTAAGTTTTTTTTCCCTCTCCACTATACATTAAACTATTTTAAGCTATAAATGATATTTGATAATAGAGATGTCAAAACACTTTACATGATTGAGTTTGGTTCCAACTTAAAATTAACTTTATGTGAATCCAATTGAATCATCTTGAATTCGACCTATTTAATAAACTTGTCAAAAAGATGAATCCCAACTCAACCCATTAGCAATCCGGATGACTTGAACTCTACTCGATTAACTATAAAGTCTAGGCTAATGGATAATAAAAATAGTATACTAATAAGCAAAAGAATTTAAGAAAATAAAATAATCAAATGAGTTACTATCAAATTAAAATTGATTTCACGAGTCAACTCGAATACAATTCATCATTTAAATGGGTTAGATTTTCGTAGCCGACGCGCTAAACTAGTTAATCCGAGCTAAAACGTTCAGTTTAGGTTCCGAGGTCTCCTCAATACGGTGGGGTCAAAATGGGCTCCACGTGGCGCGATACTACTTGTTTGCACATACAGAACTACGTCCGCACTCGGCACCCAATAAAAACTGCTAATGCTCACATGTTGTTTCGCCCCTTTATATGATAATATTCAAAATTTAAAAGTAGGTTCGCGGTTTAAAGATAAAATGACTCGATGCTTCATACGGCTATTTGTTTTCATGAGATATTTAGATGAATTAAGATATATATAAGACTGAGCATAAGAACTCTTAGTTGATAGTCAAAATTTTTATCCAGCAGAACAAGATGAGCCACGTAATTAACTTATTTTCTTAGAACTATCCTTCTTTTTCTCTTTTTCATTCATATATGAATTGACGAAGTATAGAAAATTATGTTTTAATATTGGAGCTGAGTAGCTTCCGATAATAAGAGTTTTAAGCATGTGAACAAGCTAATATTATCGCATTAGGATTTTGGTTAAAATAATTGTTTAGAATTTTGTTGAGATTAGTGATTTATATAAAATCATAAATTACAATAAATTTAGCATAAATTCAAGAGATTTCATGCACTGCCAGGTGTATTTTATATCAAGATATATTGATTTTTTTTTTTTTTTTTTTTTTTTTTTTTTTTTTTTTTTTTTTTTTTATGATTATGTTGGGCTTTAGTGGCAGAGTAAGCACGAGCGATGTGTAAGTTAATTTTATGTGATGATGAAAATATCAGTTGATGGTGGGTATTAGGGGTGCAAATGAGTCGAGTTGAGCTTGGGCTCGACTCGCCGCAAAAATCGAGCTCGTCGAGCAACTCTCTTCCCACTTTTTTTGTAATGAACGCGATTCACATATGTCCGCTTCGGATTACGCATACCGCCACGGCACGAGCTCCAATAAGCTAGCCCCCGCTATATTGCCTTCCGCCATTCCGATTACCGCAAGGCGCTCGACGAGTAATATAGTCTAGCATACGGTTGTTCGAACTCGAGCTTGATAAGCCCAACAAGCTTGAAATCCTGCTTGAGCTCGACTCGTGAGCTCGTTAATGAGTGGAGCCCGAGCTAGCTCGCAATTCAGCCTAACACGGTTGCACCTCTATAGGTATTATTATAGCGCCAATAAACGACGAAGGTGATTGTGAAGAGTTAGACATCGAAAGACCTAGATCGACTGACATTAGCTTGTTCTGTTAGATGTTGTAGCATGATGCTCATTAATGAAGGATGATGGTGATCTTCATAAGGTGGTATGACAAGTTGCCAAGAAGTAGAACAAACAAAACCCTAGTAAAGACCAATTGCAGGCCCCAAATATTGTTCAAAACTTATGATACGTCATCTCAAAATTATCTTGATCGAGCACGAATCTCGAGGCAAAAGCTAGTTGGAAACTTCAAAAATTAATTTCGGGAGCATATGAACTCCGATTTCAGCGAGCTTACAGTCAAACTGAGCGTCTCGGAAATACAAACCCAACGACACCAAGATCAACCCAATCCGAGCCCAAATGAGTCCGAATCAAGGGTTCAAAGCGCTGTTGGAAGGTTCAAATCGCAATTTGAGTTACCAAACGGTATCCGATTTTGACGAGCTTATACTCGAATCGAACGGCTCGACGAGACGAATCCAACGAGCCCAAGATCATTGAATTCCGACATCACTAAGGCCTTCAAATGTCCAATGAACGGTGCACGATCGTAGGATTCAATATATATCGGCCGTCCATTCAAGCACTCCCTATTCGCCCCTGATCTCACGCCTATTTACGGGTCATGCCACTCCAGAAAATCTATAAATAGAGCCCTCATTTCTCATAAGAAGGGATCCAAGCAAGAAGAGAAGAGGAGAAGAGAAGGAAGAGGAGGAAGAAGCTCCTCCTCGACCACCGCCGGAAGCCTCGCCGGACCACCGCAGGAGCCTCGCCAGACCACCGCCGAAGCCTCGCCGGAGCCTCGCCAGACCACCGCCGCAGTTTCGCCTCACCACCATCTCAAGGCCCGAAGTTTAGGCCCGATGTTCAGGCCCGACGTTCTGGCTCGACGTCCTGACTAAAGCCCGACGTTCAGTCCCTACGTCCTGCTGAAGACCCGACGTCCTGCTTAAGGCCCGACGTTCAGTGCCTACGTTCTGCTGAAGACTCGACGTCCTGCTTAAGGCGCGACGTACAGTCCCTACGTCCTGCTGAAGACCCGACGTCCTGCTTAAGGCCCGACATTCAGACCTCGGTCTCCTGCCGACTACAGTCTTCCCGACCTCCGTCGCCTACTATGGTCATTCCGACCTCCACTAATAGACAACGGTCTTTTTGACCCCGGTCTCCTGCCGACTACGGTCCTTCCGACCAAACGAACATGTATATGTAACTCCTACCATGTAATGCAATCTATATGATGTACATTTGCTACATCAATTCAAGGCCTTCTCCCAAGGAAGGGCCTCATTTATAATCGACTACAAATACTAGTGGATTCATTCAAACTGGGCCAGGCACCGTGGTTTTTCCCCCTTTCAGGGGTTTTCCACGTAAAAAACTCTGGTGTCTCTTATGAATGCTACACCCTCTCACTTATCTGTTTGTGTGCTGGATCTTCGTACAATGCTAAGACGTTAAACTAAATATTTCTCTACCGTCGCGAATACTCCAGGACGCAACAACTTAGAAATTCTCTAAGAATTCTGAATTTTTCCTAGTTCCTATGATGAATAAATGAGAAGAATCATGATCTATTTATAAATATATTTATGAGAGTATTCTGATCACTTCTATTAAAATTATAAGAACTCCATTAAAAAATTCAAATATATCATCTTTTTTAATCCTTTCATATTATTTTAGACATTTCGATGCCTAAACAAACCTAAAATTTGGTGGCCTTACTCATCAGATCCATCTCATCATATAAGAAAAACTCAAATTCAAGAACTTTAGTTGATATTCAAAGCTAGGGGTGTCAATTTCGGGTCACGGGTCGGGTTCGGGTCGAACCCGGAACTGACCCGGGTTCAATCGGGTCGACCCTAACCCGACCCGGATAGGCAAACGGGTCGAAATCCTAGACCCGAACCCGACCCGCTTCGGGTTCGGGTCAACCCGACACGACCCGGAATTCGGGTCGAAATCCTGGCGCAGCGGGCGCAGCAGGCCGGCGGCAGCGGTTCCGCAGCGGCGCGGCAGGCCAGCAGCGTGAGGCTTCGTTTGGGACGGCTTTTTTATTGCTTTCAAAAACGGAGTTTTAGTACAATTTTTTTTTGTACTAAAACTCCATTTTAAAAAGCAATAAAAAACCCGTCCCAAACGAAGCCTTAGGCTTCGTTTGGGACGACTTTTTTACTGCTTCTTGAAACAGTTTTATAGTACAAAAGTTGTAATTTTTGTACTTGAAATCTGCTTTAAGCAGCAGCAAAAAAGCCGTCCCAAACGAAGCCTAAGATTTTGTTTTGGATAACTTTCTAAACCAATTATTTAGTACAAAAATTTCTTGAATTGAAAATTTTTGTATCATAAAGTTATTTTACAAAGCATTAAGAAAGCTGTCTTAAAAAAACCTAAGAAGATTACTCTAAATTTTTTGTGTGTTTATTTTCCAGAGAAAATACCCTAACTGCTCGGGCTGGTTGAATGGATAAATATTACAAGTTTTAATAGTGAAAATCCCAAATATTGCAACTGAGCCTGTTCAATCTGATAAGCAGTGCCCCATTCTGTAAAATGAAAAATTATATCAGAATAAAATAAATTATTTGAAATAAAAATTTGATATAAATAATAGAGTATTCAAATAAATATATAAGAAAATATCAAAAATTTAGTTAGAAGAAATATAAGGGAGAAGAAGAAGAAAGAGAATAGAAACTGAGGAAGAAGACGATAATAGTATGATACAGTGAATAGTGGGGTTAGGTAGAAGAAAATGGGAGAAGAAAGAGAATACAAACAGTGGAGATTGAGAACTAAGAGAGAAATGATGAGAGATTTGAATGAGTTAATAATATTTTATTAAATCTATTTGTTCTTTTTTATATAAATCTATATTTTATTTTAATTTTCAAAATAATAAATTAATTAATTATAAAATAATATAATATGATTTTATTATTAGAATTATTAAAGTTGTTGTATTATTATATTAATATTATCACATTCATTTTAATTTATAATAATTATTTGTATATATATTTCTTATATAGATATCATAAAAATATATTTATAAAAATGTGTTAATCAACCTCATAATTAAGATGG